CTCCCGAGAGCAGGTATGTGGGTTCCCGCTGGGTGGAGAGGAAAGCCACACTCACACAACACCTGTGTGGATTGTTATTAGGGAACTCGCCCTTCTCTCTGTGTAACTAGAGAAATTATCTCAACATCTGTGGACACTGCACACCATTGCTCCAGAATTGTCTCTGTTTTTTATTTATTGGCTCATGTTTAAATTTTAGATCTCCAAGGGAAGTTTGCTGGTTCACAAAACTCTTGCTTGGGTGTGAAGCATGCCTGTTATTCTGAAGAGTATTTCTTTGAAAATTAGAAATATGTTTTGCCTGATTCTATGAAATTGCATTGTCACTGTTCTTTTTTGGCAACATATGGTGTGTGTTGTTTCAGAGCTAGACCAGCATATAGCTGATTTCAAGGGAGGAAGTTTCCCTTTATCCATAGTTTCAAGTTACAACCGTCGTAGCAAGAAGAAAGGAGAGAATGGTGCCTGGAGAAAGGTGAGCACTAGTCCTCGCAAAAAGCCTGGCCGTTTCTCTTCACCCACCTGGACCAAGCTGGACCTGAGTGAGGAAGGTAAGGGGGCGGGCACTCAGGAGCTGGTTTCTGAACGCAGATGTGCTTTCATTTTTATCACTATGCATTCAACAAAATTCTTAGTATTTCAAAGCACATTTTCATGGAATAAAATATATGTAGTAGGCACAGTTCCAAAAATATTTGGGAGCCTCCTACCTGAAAAAATAGTCTTTCATACTAGAATTCTGAGATTAAATATATCTTTACCGTGACAAATGATCATTTTTATTAAATTTTTGTGGTGTCCACAATTAAATTTACATAATACAATAATTGCCCTTTGGTACATCTCTCCCTAGTAATGTGTCACCCCTAAGCCAACCTTGAATTTTAAAAAGTATGTGTACAGACAGATTTGATACCAGTTAAGGCCTGTGAGTGAGTCAGTTTTACATATTTCTTTTTCATGTATGGTGTATGTTGTGTGCCGGCTTCTATTCTGGGCAATGGAAATAGAGCAGGGAAAACAGCAACAATCCCTGTCCTTAGAGAGTTTTCATTCTAATAAAGCATTCAACGGATTCTGTATAACAGGACATCATTTATAAAAAAGAAATGTGTAAGTTTCTTTCTAACAAAGAAGACACACCTGTCTGTAGTGTTAGACCTGTTTCTTTCTTTCTTTTTTTTTTTTTTTAGCTGAGCCATCCTGCCACCTGTTGGCAGCTCAGTGGCAGCTCAGCTCGGGCCATGAATCGAATCAGTGACCCTGTTGCTCAGAGCTTGCACCCTTGAGTGAGCTCTTAACCAACTGAGCCACTCAGCCGGCCCTTACACCTGTTTCTTTTGATTTGATAATAGACAGTCAACAATTATACAAATTATAAATGTCCTCCTTACAGGATATCCATTTTTGAGTAAGAATGAAGATATTCAAACCTCATATGCATTTGGAATTTCTGATACATGTAATTAATTTTATGTCTTAAGGGGCTACCTCCAGCTGTTCTGTTTTGTGTAACTTTATGCCAGCTTCACAGCAGTGGGGTTGCTATGTAAGAGAATATAATGCCTAAAATCTTAAAACTTAAAACAATGCTATTGTTCATAAATATATTTTCATATGTTAGCTTGTATTTTGTCAACTAATAAAAATTTAATATGGTTTTTAACCATATTAATTCATGCTAGAGTTTTGTAATTACCTCAAGTGTGTGATGGTCAATTGTACCACTTTTTAAATGACTGAATGGAGAGTCAGTGAATGAAATCAGAATTTTACTTATACTTTTTAAAGATAAGTGTTATGTATTTATAGTAGGATATATTCTGATCCCACGATCTCCCAAAGTTAGAGTGTTTGATTCAGAGAATAAAGTCATTAGATTCCAGCTCCCCAATATAGCATAGGGGCTCCCCAGATAACTTTCTGTAGCAAGAATTATACCTCCCATTTGTTTATCCCATGATAGTAGCAAAAGAGGTCTCAGGTGAGGACTGTTATCTTCATTGACAGATAACAAAACGAAAGCTCAGAAACCCTTGACTGCCTGTTCCAAATCCCCTCTCCTGGAAACCTGGGGTTCTGCCATCCATGATTTTGTTTCTTGCGATTCCAATGCTGTTTTCTTCAGTCCATGTCATTCTAATCCTGTGACACATGTAATAACCCATAAGCACTCAGATGAGTGGACACCCATCCAGGCTCTTCACTATCATTTCCAAGTTTATCACAATTTCCATAGGGTTTCTTTCTTGAGCTAAATAATTACCTAAAGAATAATCATTGTCAATATATATAGAGGCGGCCAAAAAAATGAATACACATTTTAAGAGAGGAAACAACTGTGTTGAAATTGTAATACTCAATATATACCAATAACAAAAGATGAATACAAGTTATGTGTATACATTTTTTGGCACCCCCAGTATATTTCAGTTAACAAACAAAATCAATAAAATGAATATAAATTTAAAACAGTATTACAGAAATTTGTCTAAATGTGTATAACTCAGAAAACTGAATTATAAATGATTTTAAAG